TGGTGGTCTCAGGGTAGGTCCTCTCTGGCCTGGTGGTCTCAGGGTAGGTCCTTTCTGGCCTGGTGGTCTCTGGGTAGGTCCTCTCTGGCCTGGTGGTCTCAGGGTAGGTCCTCTCTGGCCTGGTAGTGTAGGTCTCTGATGTGGTGGTCCATGACTCTGATGTGGTGGTCCATGACTCTGATGTGGTCCCTGGAGTTGTGACCTTTCTTGGTGTCTTGTATGTTGTAGTCTGTACTGTTGTTGTCGTTGTACCAACAGAAGTGGTCTCTGGTGTAGCCACAGTTGTCGTGATCTCAGGCTTTGTGCACATGTCGCGGCAAGTAAGGGCATTGTTGTAGCACTCGCAAACTCGGCACTCACCAATCTTCTTGGTTGTTCCAGGCTGTGAAGTAATTAGTAGATTTAGTTAACCTACATTGGGTTTCGGGATATTTTACAATGTTTCAAAAGAACAGTAGACCAAAATACTGAATAGTTTACAATAATAATTAGTTGGGTATATCAAGCTGTAAAAGAATACTTCCTACCGGAATAATAATGCCATCGGCTGTAACACAAGGACATTCTGTCGGCTTCACACAGCGATTCCTGTCCACACGAACGTAGCCCTTCGGACAAGGTGGACACTCGCCACATGTTGGGACACATGAAGAAGCGTCACCAAACACACACTGGGTGATCTTGAACCTGTAGCAGTGACAAGTCTCCTGGCACTTGAAGGAGCAGCCATACACCTTCTTGGCACATTCAGCTGAAGCAAAGACATCAAACATAAATTCTACTACTAGTAAATCTTGCCAGGTTTCTTTCTAAATTCATTTCATTTACTTCTGAGTTCGATCAATACAAATAGAATGTATAAAGCAAAGTTAAAGCTTTCAAGCTTAAAAACCAAGGGAATCCATAAAGGTTATTGAACAGATATATACAAACTAAATATGTATACGCACTTGTCACTTCCGTTGTAAGCCATGAGCTTGTTGTCTCCACAATAGTCGTGGTTTCTGGCTCAGTAACTTCAGGCTTGGTAGTTTCTGGGTATGTTTCTCTGGCTTGGTGGTCTCAAGTGAAGTTGTTGTTCCTAGAGTTGTGACCTTCCTTGTGGGCTTGGTTGTCTCGGGGTATGTCTGCTCTGGCCTTGTTGTCTCAGGGTAGGTCTTCTCTGGCCTTGTTGTCTCAGGATATGTCTTTTCTGGCCTGGTGGTCTCAGGATAGGTCTTCTCTGGTCTGGTGGTCTCAGGGTAGGTCTTTTCTGGCCTGGTAGTCTCAGGGTAGGTCTTCTCTGGCCTGGTAGTCTCAGGATAGGTCTTCTCTGGCCTTGTGGTCTCAGGGTAGGTCCTCTCTGGCCTGGTGGTCTCAGGGTAGGTCTTCTCTGGCCTGGTGG